TAACCAGGTCCCTTATAAGTAGTAGAATTCACAGATCCAGCTGCATCATGTAAAATTGCATGAAGTCTGAAAACTTTTGAATTTGCAAAAAAGTAATCCATACAAGAATTTCCGTATCCAATTAGACCCCCAAAAGGAAATTTTTGGTCCATTTCTTTCAAATTTATGTTTGGGTCCAAAACAATACAGGTACAAAGAAAGTAATTTTTTCTTTTTGTATTTGATGAAAAGTCATGCTTTATCAAATCAAAATTTCTGAGAACTTCATTCAATTTCTGAACGTTCATTTTCTACAGTGCATTCGTCAATAATGATACAAGTTTTTTTGAATGTTTCTACATAAGACAAAACTGAGGGGATAAAATCAACCAAATTATCATACTCTTCTTTTTCCAACTGAAAATTCTGATTGTTCTTCCAAGTGTTTCCTTTTCTACGATACTCTATAAGATCTATTTTTTTAACATCTGAACGATAACTTAGAAAAATTTTTCGTCTTCCATTATGCAAAGTCCACTCAAATTGAGAAATTTGTGATTCTGTATCCAAATCTTGCAATTTTGGTAAATTTTGAGATTCCAAAACTGTTAGTGAAAATTTCTGGGACTTTTCTTGTAGGACGATATGAAAAAGTCCCAATTTATTTTGAAGCTTTAAAATAAGATTTCTTGAAAAACCAATGTTCCAACTCATACTGCTCAGCTCAAAGAAGTTTTAAGAATGATTCAAGAAGATGAATATTTGAATTACCTAACTATAATAACATCACTCAACAACAAAATTATTGAACCTTACAGTTCTCAACAAACATAAAATCTCCCAAGACTTGGGCAAGTTCTTAGAATTCGTTCAAAGTATAGTTGACATAGGCAACTTGCTTCAAGACTTCGTTCTCCTTTGCAGTGAAGAGTCGAATCTGAATGTAGGGTGGCTTGTTCACACTGTACTTCTTGATTGTGACACACACCCTTCTTTTCTTGTATGTTGCTACGTCATACACCGCATGACAGTTTGCAAGTTCCTGCTCCATGGTTGAGTCTTTGTCAGAATAGGGTTCCAATACAGGAACGAGTCCAAGGTTTTCAGCATCGTGAATAACAGTATTCCGTATTGCTGATATCCTTTCCCCTTCTTTTTCACCAAGATAGACTTGCTGGGTTTTTTCGAATTTTCCAGATTCATTTTTCTTTAGCAATTGGAAGCAAGGTTCAAAGTAAATTTTTCCATTGTAGGGTTTTTGGGACCAAGAAAATCTCCCAATCCTTTTTTGGTTCTTAGCAAATTCAATATAGTTGGGAAGGATATCTTTTCGTGAATACATTTTTGATTTAAGATTCAGAACCAACTGATCAGTAGTAGATATTTCAAAATAAGGATATTTGTAAATTTATAGAAATTAGGAAATCTAGATGACTCACTGTACAATCCATATAAGGTATTATTACCTTATATGGAATAATGAGGAGGTGATGATCCAAATATGGACATTGCGTAGGTGATGGAACTACTATATAAGCAATTCAATATAGATAAAATTCATTTTCAACAAGTAATCGGTGATGGCATCTGCTATGTGTCAAGCATATCCCACTTTTTATTCGGACTACAATGCAAAATCTCTTTTTATCTCTGTCTCAGAAAACTTTTATGAAAAATTTATTGTTACCCAAGACTACTGTGTATCTAACCATTCATCATTCTGCCCAGTGGAAAATTGCAAATTTCACTAAGTATTAATCGGATCATCGCTCGATCAGATTTTGCAAAGATTAGATAAATATCATTTCACTTATCAAATTGTTGACTGTATATATACTTTATACAAATACAGATTTTATTTCAATATTATTTCATCAAGAGGTGAAGTTTTCAATCAATTGAATCGTGCAGTCGAACACAACTTGAAATGTAGAATACCGGAAAAATTACCCAGTGTTGCAAAGAAACGACTACTGCGAAAAAAATTCAAAAGACATTATCTCAGTTCTGCTCAGAAGCTTGCGTCCACTCAGACTCTTGGATCAGCTTTTTTGGAAAGGGTTCAAAAAGTTCAAAACTCAAAGTATGACACTGACTTGTTGAAAATTGTTGATTGTTTTATTGATGGTTTTGGTACCGTAAATAGTGAGCGTATCAATTTTTCTATTAATAATTGAATATTTGTTAATAAAAATCTTGTCAAAATTGTTTTTATTTAAATCAAGAGTTTTTTCGCAAGATGCAAATTTTGGTTTGATTTTTTCAACACGTTTGCAAAAATTTAATTAAACTTTTTTACAAGATGCAAAAATTGTTTTGGTTTTTTCAACAAGTGTGCAAAAATTTTCAACAAAATTTTGTGTTCGTGATTTTTTTGAAAACAAATGCAAAAATCTAACTTATTTTTTTTTTCATTTGCAAAAATTGCATAAATTTTTTGTAAAAACTTGTTAAATTAATGCTAAGAAATTTTCATAATTGCTGACTTTGAGTACTATTCCCTATCTTAATACATTGTTTTTCCAATATTTTTGATCATTCTACATGCAAAAAAGAGATTTTTTTTATGATCAAAATTAAAACAAAGATTTTCATTTTATTTAATTATTAACAAGGCAAGAAAATCCTCTTTCAGTTTTCTTTAAAATGCGAAAATATTTAATGAAATTTTTCTTAATTTGCGAGATTTTCTTTGATTTTTTTAACAAGTGTGTAAAAAAATTATGAAAAGTTTTGCATGGTGCAAAAATTAATGTAACGTTTTTAACATGCTTGCAAAAATTGGTTTAATTTTTTTGCCATCTTTCTAACAAAATTCTATAAAAGTATTTACCAGATGCATAATTAGTTTCATTTTTAACAAATTTTTACCATTGAAACTTCCTAATAAACTTTTCTATGATCTCTTTGTTCCTATCTCTTGAAAAAAAATTTACTAGATACAAAGAAATTAAATTACAAAGCACAAGACAGTAACCAATTTATTTACAAATCAAAGAGCTGTCGAGCAGCTGAGTTCTCAAAACTTTGCAAGTTCTCGATGGAGCGCAAAGCTGGTCTTGCCTCTATCACTGGTGGTTCGCTGACTGGAGTTCTTGTTTCAGAGAACCCCTCATCCTCTTCGATGGTAATTGGGTTGTCCACAGATCCCTCTTCCCAAGGAAAGAGGAAATCGTCGAATGGTTGGGCCACATATCTAGAGTCAGGAATTTCGGGGTAGTTCATTCCCACATGTTCGGCCACTTCCTCCATCATTTGCATTTCTCCAAGTTGATTCTCTGTAGGAGGTACTTGCGTTATCTGATTTTCGTTGAAATCCCTTCGCATCACTTCCACCATATGCCAGACTTGGATTGGGATGTCCATTTGTGCCAGAACAACTCCACAAACTGTTTCTCGCACTTGGATTTGTACTAAATCAGCCGAAAATTCCACCGAGAACATAAGGTTGTTGTTTTGTACTGAGAAGATCATTTTGAGCAATAAGTTGAGTAAATGATTAAAAGCAAGATTTACAGTTGAGAGGGAGAAATTTGCCGGTAGTTATGTTGAAATTATTGTATTTAGAGCTGAGAGAGGAGGTAGTTGACGGTAGTTAAGTTGAAAATAAAATGATTTTTAGTTAAGAGAGAGGGGTACCTTCAACTGGAATGTGTGGGTTTAACCAATGAGAATGAATTTTCCTTATTTGAATTGTAGTCGTGTCCAATTAGATTTTAGTTTCTTTTTATGGAATTCTTATAGAAAACTCGTGTCCAATTGGAAACAAAGCTCCATTTTACATATTGTCGTTTCCAATCACAAAAATGTTCACTTTTGTTCAAGTTGTTGTATCCAATCAGAGGAACCTTTCACGGACTTAAGTCTTCCAAATAAGTAAAAATATACACAAAAGCAATCGCAAAAATAAATGACCAAAAGTTGTTTGCTGTAAAAATAAGAAATATTGTCGATATAAGTAACAAAAGAAGAAAAATTAATAAAAGTAGCATCTCTGCTAGTCTTCTCATCAAGTTAACTGATTTTTTTGTATTTAATCGATGAGAAATTGCTGATTTTTCAGCAAATAATCAAGTTCTTTAATTTTGATGTAGATTTGAGATGTTAACTCAAAGTTGATGAATTTTTCAAAGCAAATCTCTGGAAATCTGATACCAAACCTGATCATGCAAGATTTTGAACTTTGAAAGTCCTTAAAAAATGGAGGAATAAAGCACTTTGCTGGGGAGTTTTAACAAATTTGGGAGTTGGATATGGAATAAAAAGAGTCTTTGAAATATTATCGTACGATTTTTTTATCAACTTCAAAATTTCTAAAATAAATAAAATTTCTTTTCTAGTCAAGTGTAACTCAGCTGTAAGTTTATAGCTTTGATAAGCAATATGTGAATCAAAAGTAAACTCTTTGATTGAGTAAGTTTCTCTAAAGAGACCTTTACTTAGTCGGAGAACTCTATTTTGGACAACATAAACGTCAAAAAATTGTGAAAAAAGTAAGAATCTACATCTATTTCATCAATAAGGAAATCACACGGAATATTTTCGAGGAAGTTCAAATGCTTTTTGATTGACATTCTTCAAAAACGAATATTTTGGATCCAAAGTTGTGACTAGAACTTTCAAAGGAATGACGTCATTACCATAATAGGAAAATTGCGTGGGTGTTGACGTCATTTCTATTTCTAGAATAACGTCATTATCATAAAGGGAACATTGCGTGGGTGGTGACGTCACTTCTAAATATAGAATGACATCATTACCATAAAAGGAAAATTGCGTAGGCGGTGACGTCACTTCTATTCAAAGAATGACGTCATTACCGTAAAAAGATAATTGCGTAGGCGTCTTTGATAGTATAAATACACTTATTTTATTGGGTTAAATCATTCATTTTGTTTGCCAATCAGAAACAGTCAACTGAATTTTACTTCAAATTTTACATTTCGTTACTTCACGAAAAGTAAGTATTTTCATTCAATTGGTACTTTAAGTTTTTAAATTTGGAACAATTTTTTTAGATAATGTCTGCCCTTAACCGAAACGAGAAAGTCAAATGTGAGGAATGTGGTCAGGAATACAGGAGAGCTGATAATGCGAGACATCGAAAAAGATGTGCTAAAGGAGTTGTTTCTTGTCCTGAATGTAAGTATTCCACTTACAATCAACAAGAAATGAGCTATCATATGGCTAAGAAGCATGCTCAACCAAGTTCGAAGCCGTCGACGGTTTGTTCTTCTTGTGAACAAGAGTTCCCGAGTTACTACTCTCTCCAGCAACATCGGAGAAAGGCACATGGAGCAAAACAACGGAAACCTAGTGCTACGGTAGCCGACTTGAACAAGATTGTGGAGGATGAGGGGGAAGATGGTGAAAAATTGAAGGAGGAACTTGGTGCATGTCAACATTTTCTAGTGGATACGGAGATGGAAAATGGGAGACACAAGGTATTTAACTTCCAAATGTCCAAGTTAGATACTAAAATCATTAACGAGAAACTTGAAGAAGTCTTCAACAAGCCAAAATCAACATTGCTCTGGGTTTTGTTCTTCGAAATATTGAGACTGGTGAATATCGATATTTCTACGCCCATGAAAACAATACTCTGTTTGAAAAATCCCACTTACTTTGTACGAAAGCGGATTTGATAACAATCCAAGGAAAAGTAGAAAAATTTGATATTATGGAGCAATGTACCCAAGAACGCCAGAGCACAAAGTGGCGATTCAAGTTGATTACTAACGTTACAATTTTTGCTGCTTTGCTGAAAAACATCCCAATGGGATGTCCAGACTCTGTCTTACCCGAACCTTTATTACGACATACGCAAGTGAAATGTCTTTTATCTAACAAAGACAAGGAACCTTACAAAGATCATTTGTGTCTTTTCCGCGCATTGGCCATGTACATGAACGGACACAATGATCTCGACACTCACACCTCCAGATATTTTACAGAATTCATAACAAAATCTGGTTATGATCCTAAAAATTTTCGTGGAGTTTCCGTTGAAGACTTACCTGTTGTCGAGGAAATAATTGAACGCAACATCTTTATTTACAATTTTGATATTCAAGAGGGAGAATATGTGGGAGAACTAGCACGAAGAAGTATTGGTAGATTTGATAAAACAGTCAAATTACTGCGATTCAACAATCATATCATTCATACAAATGATATAGATAGCTTCTTTAAGTGTTTCCGGTGTCCTAGTTGTGATAGTTTCTTCAAAAGATCCGAGTTTCTCAACAAAGATCCGAGTAAGGATCGTGTGAAACAAATTTACCCAAAGAACGTATATGAGCTTCGCGAAACCTTGTTTGAAAAGCTCGAAGGATTCAATCTTCCAGTTTCTGAAGACAACAAGCTTTTCAATAATCTAGCAATTTTCGACTTTGAGTCGATTTGTGTTCCTACAGAGGAACTAAAAGAGACGCAAACTACTACGTGGATTGGGAAACACGTTCCAATTTCAGTCTCTATATCATCGAATCTGATTGATGAACCCATCTTTTTGTACAACAAGGATCCACAGAACTTGATTATTGATTTTGTATCCAACCTCGAGCTGTTGGCTGAACAAAGTAAGCTAGAAATGAGAAAAAAATTTCAAGATATTGAAGTAGCTGTCAATGAAAGAATGAAAAAAAACTTTGATCAATTGAATGAGCGAGGCCAGAATTTTTCAAGTAACAAGTTTGAGTACGAAGATGAATGTATTGAAGATTCGGAAGAAGCAGATATGTCAACACAATTCTTGCGAATTCAGAAAAATCAACTCATCGATTTAAAACAACATCTGGAGAGATATGTAAATACTCTACCGGTTTTTGGATTTAACAGTGGTAGATATGATTTAAATTTGATCAAGTCCTACCTAATCCCCTATTTGATTCGCGATAAAGAACAAGAAACATCCGTCATCAAAAAAGCAAATGACTTTATATCTTTCAAGTTTGGAGATGTACAATTTCTCGACATAATGAAATTTCTGGGAGGGGCAACTACTTTGGACTCCTTTCTCAAAGCCTATAAAGCTAGCGAAACGAAAGGATTCTTTCCCTATGAGTGGTTTGATAACCCAGACAAACTTGATTTTCCAGGACTGCCCCCATATGAAGCATTTTTCAGTAAACTTAGAAACAACAATCCTCTAGACAAAGACTTTACTGATTATGAAAAACTGAGGAAGAGTGGACTTGAGGAACAGCAAGCACTGAAAAAACTTCAAATCAAGACTGTTCCTTCATCTGGTTTGGATAATTACAATTACTTACAAGAGACTTGGAAGAAAAATGGAATGACAGTGTTCAAAGACTTTTTGAAGTGGTACAACAACAAGGATGTAGTTCCAACCCTGGAGGCAATGCAAAAAATGATTCAGTTTTATCATAACAAGGGGATAGATATGTTGAAACTTGGATGTACACTTCCAAATCTAGCAAACATTTGTCTACACAAATCTACAAATTACAAATTTTATCCATTTTGCGAAAGTGATAAAGACTTGTGTGAAAAAATACGAGAAGACATGACTGGTGGGCCTTCGATTGTGTTCACTCGAAAAGCTGTTGTAGACGAAACCTTTATCAGAGATTCATCAAATATTTGTAAGTCAATCGTTGGAATTTATGCGAGTCAGCTTTACCCCTATTCAATGTGTCAAGATATGCCAACAGGACTGTATACGAGATGGGAGTTTGACACTGATATGCAGAAATTCAAGGCTAGACATAATCGAACTCGCAACTTTGAGAATATGGTCATGTCTTTCTTTCAAGAATCAAGACCAGAATGTAAAATTGAGAGCTTTTTTACATCTGGAAAACAGAAGAAAATTGACTGTTTTAATGTGGACGGTTATTGTGATCACTGTAAAACAGTATTCGAGGCAATGGGATGCTACTATCACTTTTGTTATTGTCAAGAAGCTCGTCCCTCCTTAACAGAACAGGATATCGAACGAGGAAATAAGAAGAGAGAGATGGATGAGATGAGACGAGAATACATTCAAGAGAAAGGATACAAAGTTGAAGAAATGTGGGAGTGTGACTGGTGGGAAAGTTTCAAAACCGACGAAAAGATCAAAAATCACGTCAGAACCCACTTTCCCTATAAAAGACCTCTTTCTACAGACTCTCTTCTAGCAAAGATAAAAGATGGATCTCTTTTTGGCTACGTTCAGTGCGACTTGGTTGTTCCAGATGAACTGAAATCAAAATTTGCGAATTTTCCTCCAATTTTCAAAAATACTGAGGTCGGAAGAAATGATATTGGAGATTACTTGAAAAACTATGCGATCGAGAACGAAATGTTAAAGCATCCTCAGAGAATGCTGATATCTAGTTTCAAGCTGGAAAATGGAACGGTTATAACTCCTCTCTTCAACTTTTATATGGAACTTGGATTACAGTGCACCAAAATTTACCGATTTGTTCAATATTCTCCTCGGAAGTGTTTCAATAATTTCGTTCAATCGGTGGTTGATGCAAGAAGAGAAGGAGATGAAAACCATTTGTCAGGAGTTGTAGCAGAAACAATGAAGCTCTTGGGCAATTCCTCCTATGGATATCAGATCATGGATAGATCCAGGCATACAATCACGAAGTATCTGAACGATGAAAAAACTCACAAGGCAATCAATGAACCACTGTTTAAGAGACTTAACACAGTTGAGAAGGACTTATATGAGGTGGAGTTGTTGAAGTCAACCATTGAGCACAGAGAACCCACCATTGTTGGTTTTTTCATACTTCAGTATGCAAAACTGAGAATGTTGGAACTCTACTATAACTTCTTTGACAAGTTCTGTGATGTGAATAAATTTGAAGAGTTGGAGATGGACACAGACTCACTTTACTTGGCACTTGCAGAAGAAAATTTGTACGATTGCATTCAACCAGATAAGAGAGCTGCTTGGGAAAAAATGAGGGAGAGTGATTGCAGAAATTCCTTCAAGGCGGATGCAAAACCTAATTTTTTTCCTCGAACCTGTTGTAGTATCCATAAAAAACATGATAAGCGGGAGCCGGGACTTTTCAAAGAAGAATTTAGGTGCACAGAAATGCTCTGTTTATGTAGTAAGACATATTGCTGCTATGACAACAAGTCAGACAAATTCAAATTTAGCAGCAAAGGATTGAATAAGCGGGTTCTAGAAGACTCTGGAGATGGACCTTTAGCAAAGTATAGGAGAGTGCTTGATGAAGCAATTAATCTTACATCTACTAACAGAGGATTCAGAACTATAAATCATATGGTGGCTACATATGAACAGACAAAGAAAGGATTAAGCTATTTTTATCCAAAAAGACAAGTACAAGATGATGGAATTCATACAAAACCACTGAACTTATAAGAACTGATCTGGTCAAGTAAATTTATTCATGATGTTGTATTATATTGGGTTTATGATGTTAAAATGTAAAATGTTGAGGTAAACTTGTTATACAATGCAGTGATTTATATACTTTCTTTGTAATTTAAACTTTTTTCTCAAACAACTTGACTTTTTTCGAAGTCTCTGTAGGTTCAGAATAGATTCAGATAGGTAGAAAGTAAAAATATCTAATAAATTAAACAAAATCTTATCGTGTTTTGAATTTTTTCGAAAAAATTTTTTTGATAAAAATTCCAAGTTTTTGCACAAAAACTCTTACCATTGACTTACCATCCACCAAAAAAAACTTAATATTTAACCTTAATTCTACACAAAATGAACAATCAATTGTTCCAAATTAGGAAACGCACGCCGAGATTTTTGCGAAAAAATTACACAAAAACCAAAAAATTTTCGTTTTTCTTTCTCTTACCATCACACTGAAACCTTACCATTGGTATTCCCTATCTTAATACATTGTAGACTCTATACCCAATCTTAATACATAGCTGGCGGACCGGATGCTCTATTCCTTATCTTAATACATGGGGGTCAGCCTCCTCCCCCCCCCCCCCCCCATTCCCCCCCACTCCCCCCCCCCCCCACTTAACCTCCAACATCTACTACTTCCTTCTGTGAGATTCTGCTTCTGTATGAAATAAGAGTGTTGGTTATCCTTCAGAATTATACGCGCTGGCATGCTAAGCCCTTTTAAAAAATGTTGAGTTTTCGAAGGAAGTTCAAAAGTTTAAATATCACAGAAACTTTTCATATTAATGATCTTTTGTCACACATTTAGTCTAGTCCCTTTGTCGTTACTGATGAACTCCATAACTTTGATGTAGTCTTCTTTTCGAAAAAACATTTCTAAATACTTTAAGTTGCTTTGTTAAGGATATCAAATTCCTCAAATCTAGGTTTCTTCACCTAAGTTTGATCGTTTTTGATCGTCAAAATTTTTTGAAAGACCCAATAAAGCTGCCCGAGCAACTTTTTTCGAATCAATTTCTTTTCAAATTTTTCAATTTTTCAGTAAGGTGTATCAAACGTCTTGTTTTGAACAATTTT